TTTTTGCACATATTTTCATAAAACGTTAAAGAATATACTTATTTAGATCCTCTCAAAAGTGTTATGTAAATTAAAATATAAAGGAAGCTCAATATAATTATGACATTTAATATTCAGAAGAGCAGTTAGAGATGTTAGTGAAATTTAGGCCAAGTTTGGCAAGCTGCCAAAAAGTTAAAAAATCAAAAAATTACTCAAAAAGTTAACAAGTTATCACTATTCACCAAAAGTCAAAAATTACGGCTGCACAACTCTCAATTCTAATTTTCCCCTACACACTAATTTATACAATTTTTTAATACACATTTTTCTATAAAAAGTCAAAAAGTTAACCTAAACATCCATATTTTTTTCCTTAATTTTTTAGTCCAAAAAGATAAAAAGTGTACTTATTTAGGACACCCCAAATATGTTTTTGATTTTTTCTTTTTGGTGATTTGTTTATGAAAAAAAAGTGTAAAAATGTAAAGTGATTGAAAGGAAATATTTGACTTTACTAAAATTTAGGGGTGTAATTCGAGTAGGTTTGGTCGGGTTTGAAGGTTGTCTAAGTCCAATCCAAGTTGTGCTGAGATTTGCTCAGGCCCGCCCAAGCCCAAATTGTAACCCGAGGTTGCCTGCCCAAGTCTGACCCGAGTTAAACCCGAATTGCCCGAATTGTAAATGAATTTCAGTTTTTTATTTTATTTTTTTTTGCAACTGCATTATTAAATTATTAAAATTAGACTTTATTTACATTTTTTTTAATATAGAAAATCATTAATACTATCAAAATAAATAATTTATATAATATAAGAGAGATGCAGCTATAGTAATCTTTATAATTTATATAAGTGAAAATAAGAATGTAATATTTTATGTTATTTGTACATATAATATATATTTAATATGATTTAATAATTTAAATTACTTTAATACCATGTAAGAATTAATAATTTATATGTATATTTAATATTTTTTTATATTTATATATGTATAATTCGTGTTTCGAATTGCTCAAATTGTTTGACGTCTTTGCTTAAGCCCGTTCAAATTTAATTCGAGCTTTTGAATTTTTTTCCAAGCCTGTACCAAATTTGAAAATATCTTGTCCAAGTCCTAAAAAATTCGGACTGGGTTTAGGTTGCTCGGATTGAGTCCGCCCAAGCTACACCTCTACTAAGATTACATCTATCTAATAGTTAAAGGGGAAACTACAATTCATTGTATTTTATTTTATTTTTTTTAAATTAAAGATTCAGGAAAAATTTTATAATTTTAATTAGGAAAAACACTTGTAGTCCTTACATTTTGCCACTTGTGTCATTTTGATCCATTAATCTTATTTGGCTCAATTTCTAACCCTTTATTTTAGATTTTACGTTAATTAATTTGATCCAATTGATAACGTTTTTAAGGTTTTGGATAGAAAATAATAACTAAGTTAGTTAACGTTAGTAACTAAATTAATCAAGTTTATAATTTTTTCATTAAAAGAATGACATATGTCGCTCATAATCGAATCAATTTGAGACAAAGAGCGTCAATTGAAATAATAAGAATCAAAATTACACATTGGACAAAAAGTACAATGACGAACCGTATAATTTTTTTTTAATTATTAATATTTGTCAAATATACCATTAATCTAAAATTTTTCTTTTAAACTTACACTAAATTATAATTTTCCCATAGTTGAAAGGAAATCCCTTCAGTACTATATGCATCTTATGCTACATTTTTCTAATATTTGTTCCGCATTTTTGTACTACATGTAATGTAACAATAATTTGTAATTTAAAAATTGTCATTAGCCGATGAATCTGTGACTGTAATGTTCATTTTGTCATCAATACAAAATGATTCTTTGTATTCTAACAAAGGATCATAAAAACTATAGTAATAAACTTAATCCATTTATCATTCTTTGTAGGATATGTTTGCTGCTGGAGCGGATACCACCTACACAGTATTAGAATGGGCCATGACTGAATTGCTAAGGCACCCTACAATAATGAAGAAACTCCAAGAGGAGGTTAGAGGAATTGCCCCTAAAAAAACAAACTTAAGTGAGGATGATCTTGAACAAATGCACTATTTAAAAGCAATAATCAAAGAGACTCTTCAGCTACACCCTCCGGTACCATTACTAATTTCTCGAGAATCAACCAAACATGTCAAATTACAAGGCTACGACATCCCGACTGAAACAAGAGTATTCATCAACGCATGGACTATTGGGAGAGACCCTTTATCGTGGAAAGAGCCAGAGGAGTTTCGACCAGAGAGGTTCTTGAATAGTTTTATAGACTTCAACGGACAAATTTTTCAATTTATTCCATTTGGGGCTGGAAGAAGAGGGTGTCCTGGAATTGTATTTGCTATTGCCAATCTTGAGCTTGTGTTAGCCAGTCTCCGCTGATATCTTCACTAAAGCTCATCCTCCTGGCCGCTTCACTGATCTTGTTTCCAAACTCAACTTGGTTGATGCTTTCCCTCCTTGAGTTTGCGGGGGGATGTTAGTATATTATTATACTTTGTATATAATTGTTATAGCATCAGCTTTCGGCGCCTTTGTGCCTTTGTTATCATTGTGTTTGTTCCTTTCGGCTAAAGCATTAGCCTTGCCTTTCGGTGCCTCGCGTCTCGCATGGCATGCCCAATATCAGTCTATAAATAGAGAGCTAAGCTCCCTTTGTATACACACAACAAATATATATACACATTTATTCATTTGCTCTCTCTCTCTATCAATGTATTTTACAAGAGGAATTGCCCCTAAAAAAGCAAACTTAAGTGAGGATGATCTTGAACAAATGCACTATTTAAAAGCAATAATCAAAGAGACTCTTCAGCTACACCCTCCGGTGCCATTACTAATTTCTCGAGAATCAACCAAACATGTCAAATTACAAGGCTACGACATCCCGACTGAAACAAGAGTATTCATCAACGCATGGACTATTGGGAGAGACCCTTTATCGTGGAAAGAGCCAGAGGAGTTTCGACCAGAGAGGTTCTTGAATAGTTTTATAGACTACAACGGACAAAATTTTCAATTTATTCCATTTGGGGCTGGCAGAAGAGGGTGTCCTGGAATTGTATTTGCTACTGCCAATCTTGAGCTTGTGTTAGCCAGTCTTGTGCACAAGTTTGATTGGGCGTTGCCTGGAGGGGTAACAGGGGATAATATGGATTTAGCCGAATCTTCAGGGATAACTATTCATAGAAAGTTTCCCTTAATTCTTGTTGCAACTCCTTGTTTCTAAGGTAGTTGTTTGATTATTTCTTGAACCATTATGTGACTCGATTATTAATATTTTACTGCTTTGATCATATGAGCCTAAATTTTGTAATCCCCAAAACTTTGTTAGCCATGTCATCATCTTTAAAACCAGTGATCATGTTTAAGCGAGTTGGTTATCCAATTCAAATAATTAATTAGACAGAAAATATCGATGATTAAAAAAAAGAGGCTAAAATTTGCTCTTCAAGGGAAATTATTATTTAAGAGATAGGAATATCAATGGATTACAGCTTCCCATAAATTATTTTCAATAAAAAGACTTGCATGGGCACCAAAATATTCAAAATTTTAAGGACCATAAAATTTGAAACAAAACCAAATGATTCCACAATAATCCAAAAAAGCTAAAAAAATTACTAAGTGAGATCATCTTTTCATTCACACTTGAAAATCATTTTTTAACTTCACATCGTGAATGAACTGAAAAACTACCAAACAGTGAGAAATATGGTCCCCAAAAATATTGAAAAATATTTTGGAAGCTCTAAAATATGAGTTCTAAAAAAGCTCTAGAAGTGGGCCCCATATATTAATGTGATGTTTTGGTCTTAATTTTTTTTATTTATTTATAAATTTTCATATCATTATAACTCAATCAAAACTCCAAAATTAAGGGACATAATAAACAAGGTCCAACCCAATTCAACATTCAGTCCAAAATCAAACGAAGGGGATAAATTTTAGGGGGTTTGTTTGACATTATATATATCATGTTGGGTCAAAATTGAAAAAAAAAGAAAAAGAAGTTATCACTCAAGTGAAATTCTAAAGAAAAGAAACGCTTTTCTCTTCGATAGTCCCTGATAAGCCCCAGTTGTGAGTCGTCACTCCGTCTCTGCATTTTTTTAAGAATCAACTTTTAATGGAGTAACTTTTGTCCTAATTTGTTTTAGTTTTTGGTTAAATTAGATTTTGGTTCAATTTATGTGCCCTAATGACTAATGATGGAATAGCTTTTTTCCCCCCCATTTTGTTGGGTATTTTTATCTTATTGTGAACTGGATTTTTGTAGGCCTTGTTTGGTTTTGCTTGGTTTCTGTAGTCTCTGGGTTGTGCTGCATCATCTTGTTTGGCATCTTGCTAACCTTCTAGTGTGTGGATTTGGTCTCTGCATATATAATTATGTTATTTACCATTGTACTTGAATTTAGGGAGAGACTTGGGTTGTGTTTGGTTCATGTGGAGGGATTTGGAAAAGGGAAGGGAAAAGATGTGAAAAAACTAGGTTGTGTTTGATTTATGGATTTGGAGAGGGATTTAGAAGAAAAAAAAAGAAAAAAAATGTGCGTTTTACCTACCTTTTGGAAGGATTTTGAAAGAGAGAAAGGGTGAATGTGAGTGACATTTCACCTACATTTCATGCGCATTTTCCTTTTTTTCTTTCTAAATTGCTCTACAAATCTATGAACCAAGGAGAAAAATACGAATTAAATATGAACTATTTTTTTATTTTTTTTCTCTTCTCTTTTCACTTCGCAAATCCTTATCCAAATTCAAGGTTTGCACACAATCTAAAAGTAAACCTAACTTCAACTATTTACATTGGGTTCAATTTTTGTAAATCATTTGTGTCAATTTTACCTAAAAATATGAGTAATAATATTTTTGTTTCAATGGTGTTTCTGAATTTAGTGGTGTCAATTGACACCACATCAAGCTATGCGGTTCAAGAGACTTGAATAATAAAACAATAGCCTTTATTTCAAGCTTTATATACTAGGAGGAAACAAATTAGGAACTATCACATTCTTTGATTTTTTGTGACCATATATATATATATGGATGATCACTTAGGTGATGAATGAAGGAGAGTGCAAAACTGGAACAAGTTGAAGAGGAATTTTCTTGTCAACAACCAAGGAAGTAACCTCACTCATGTCAAAGTCCTCTTCCCTACCTGGACCACTTGGGTACTTCCAGTCAAACCAATACAAGAGGTTTGCAAGCACATATTCAACTATTAGGACTCCAAATGAGAAACCAGGGCAGCCTCTTCGGCCGGCACCAAATGGGTTGAAATTGAAGTCTTGGCCCGTAAAATCAATAAGGTTGTTAGCAAATCTCTCTGGAACGAAATCTTCTGGGTTGTCCCAGATTTTGGGATCCCTATGTATTGCCCATGCATTGATGAACACTCTAGCTCCAGGAGGAATATCATAGCCTCCCAATTTAGTACTCTCATTGCCAATCGATTCTTGACGGAACAGATAAGGAATTGGAGCACGTAAACTTAGAGCCTCTTTGACAACCCAGTTTAAGTAGACCATTTGATCAATATCATCTTCATTGACTTTTGATTTTTCTCCTTCTACTCTTCTTACCTCTTCTTGAGCTTTCTTCAACTTAGTGGGATTTTTTATTAGTTCTGTCATTGCCCATTCTATGGCTGTTGAAGTAGTATCAGTTCCTCCAATAAACATGTCCTGTAATTGGCAAAGACACACAAAGTTGCATAGAGTTATAAAGGTAGAGATGGAATCACTTCTAGATGTAACTTCACTTACAGGTCACAAGATAGACCTAATTTGAGAGTTCTTATAAACTTGAATAGTGTTTAAGCTATTCACTATTAGTTAGTACAACATTATAAGAGAATTATGGGTGTGTGTGGGCAGGTGAGGGATGGTTTTAAATATTGCTTGATATATATGCCTTGTAGCCAAAGTTTTAAATAGCAGTATCAGGATATAAATTAGTATTACCTGCGGTGTAGTGGTGTCGAGAATATTGGAATACGAATTGGTATTAGGGGTCCTGAATTTTTCAAAATATCAACTGCAAAAAGGAGATTTATAATAGCCAAACTAACCATATTGGTTGTGAACCAATTGTATTAGCATGTGAATTGACTATGAACTGATATATATATCGAGAAATATCCTTGATGGTGTTCTTATTGCAAATGAAGTGGTGGATGGGTGGAAGAAGTTGAAGAAAAAGGATGTGTTAATTAAACTTGACTTTGAGAAGGCTTTCGATTTGGTAAATTGGGGATTTCTTCACTCAATGCTTCTGAATTTTGGTTTTGGCTTAAGATGGACACAATGGATCATGGAGTGTGTCACCTCAGCACGTATTTCAGTCCTTGTTAATGGTTCTCCTACTGACGAGTTTTGTCCACAAAGGGGTCTTAGACAAGGAGATCCATTGTCCCCATTTCTTTTTAAGTTGGTGGCTGAGGGATTAAATGTGTTATTATCTAGAGCATAACAGTTGCGTATTATTAAAGGGGTGAAAATAGGTGTTGAGGGTGTGTTGTTGTCTCATTTGCAATTTGCGGATGATTCCTTACTTTTGTGCGAAGCTGAAGATGAGGAGGTTAGAAACCTTAAGAGGATTTTAAGGTGTTTTGAGATTTTGTCTGGGTTGAAGATTAATTACCATAAAAGTCAGGTTTGTGGGGTAGGTGTTCCTGATGGTTCTTTGGATAGATTTGCTGCTATTCTAAATTGCAAGACCAGTAAGCTGCCTCTGCAATATTTAGGGCTGCCATTAGGAGCTATCTAGAGCATACCAGTTGGGTATTATTAAAGGGGTGAAAATAGGTGTTGAGGGTGTGTTGTTGTCTCATTTGCAATTTGCGGATGATTCCTTACTTTTGTGCGAAGCTGAAGATGAGGAGGTTAGAAACCTTAAGAGGATTTTAAGGTGTTTTGAGATTTTGTCTGGGTTGAAGATTAATTACCATAAAAGTCAGGTTTGTTGGGTAGGTGTTCCTGATGGTTCTTTGGACAGATTTGCTGCCATTCTAAATTGCAAGACCAGTAAGCTGCCTCTGCAATATTTAGGGCTGCCATTAGGAGCTAATCCCAGCTGTAAAGCAACCTGAAAATCAGTGGTGGATAAAGTGAGAAGCAGATTAGCTCGCTGGAAGAGGAAACTTTTATCCCATGCTGGTAGGCTTACTCTTATTAAATCTGCGCTTGCATCATTGCCTGTGTATTATCTGTCTTTATTCAAAATGCCGGATGGGGTAGCTAGAGTGTTGGAGAGATTGCAGGCTTCATTTCTTTGGGGAGGATCAGGAGCAAAAAGAAAGGTTCATATGGTTAAATGGGAGGAACTGACTAAAAGCTTGGAACAAGGGGGTTTGGGGTTGAGAAGAGTGAAGGTAGTAAATTCTTGTTTACTAATCAAATGGTGGTGGAGGTTTGGGTATGAAAAGGAAGCATTGTGGAGAAAAGTTATTTGTAGTAAGTACAAAGTGGACTTCAGGGATTGGGTTCCTTCTGCTTCTACAACTAGTTCCATGTCTAGTATTTGGAAAGGTATCATTACCATCGCAGAGTCAAATAACACTCTGTTGGAGTTTTATATGAACAACTTTCAATTAAAGATCGGGGATGGGAATAATGTTAGATTCTGGATGGACAAATGGTGTAATAATACTTGTCTTAGAGAGGAGTTTCCTGGTTTGTATGTCTTGGTGGTGGATAAGGAGGAATCATTTAAGTCTATGCATGCTAAAAAGGTTGCTGAAGGAAATTGGGTGTTTCAGTTCCAGAGAAGGTTGTACGATTGGGAGGATAGTGAGATGGCAAGGCTTAGAAATTTTCTTGTTTCAGCTCCTAGTCCTACAGCAGATCAATCAGACTGTCCAGTGTGGAATGCGACATCCTCTGTGGTGTTCTCGGTGTGCTCCGTTTATAAAGGTTTGTTAGTTACTGCAGGCCCTCTGTTAAGATCTTCTAAATTGGTGTGGATTTCATACTTACCTCCAAAAGTCCAATTCTTTACTTGGCTAGCTTGGAGAAATAGAATCAAGACTTCAGTATTCTTGCAACGGACCGGTGTCCTTCCTAGTTCTGCCTCTACAGTGTGTGTTTTCTGTAAAGAGGTATTGGAAACTGTGAATCATGTGTTGGTTGCGTGCCCATTTGCTTGGAAGGTGTGGTCTGTTATGCTGGATTGGTGGGATGTTGTTGGGGCCATACCCGAATCTGTTGAGGGAATTTTATTTTGGTGGGAAGGTCAGTGTTTTAGGAGCCAGGAGAGGAAGATTTGGAGTGGAGTGCCTTTGGTTTTGATGTGGTCTCTATGGAAACATAGGAATGATATAGTATTTAATGCTTTTACTTCTAACTTTGCGGAGCTGTGTGAAGTGATTAAGGTGAGAATTGCACTGTGGTGGAAACCAAGGTATGCTAAGCATCACTTTTCAGTGCAGGATTTTCCGGTAAATCTTAGGCAGGTGAGATGTTGTCTTAAAGGGAGTGGTATGTAACTCTGCTGCTGATATTATGTAACTCTGCTCTGCTGCTGATTTTCTGGTTTTGTTCTGGGTTTGTTTCTGCTGCTGGTTTTGTTCTGGTATGTCTGGTTTGGTGTTTGGTGATTTCTCTTGTTTAGAGTATGCTGCTTGTTTGGAGTTTGGTGATTTCCCTTCTAGCCTGTTGTGGAGTCTACTGCTGCGGAGTCTGCTGTGGAGTCTGAATCATTCCCTTCTTTTCTGCCTATTTGTTTGGAAACTTTGGTCATGTATAATTCTTTGGTGGGGTTGTAGAAAGGTCAAGTTTGGTGGTTAGGGATTCAGAGTTGGGAATTGCAGTTGGGATTTTCATAAGAAGATGTGGAGTGCTGGTTTTGTGGCTGCTGTTTTGGTGTTCTTTGTGTTGGTGGCTGCTGTTTTGGTGTTCTCCTGTTTACTGCTTTCCCTTGGGTTGGTGTCTTACCAACTGGGGTTGCTCTTTGTGTTTATTGATATTTGTCAATGTCCTTGCTTGATCTTTATCAATAAATTTTCTCTTTTGGCTGTTTCAAAAAAAAATAAATATCAAGAATTGATCAATAAACATGATTTTTTTTCGTTCCCACCAATGTATTGGGATGTATCAGTATCGAAATGGCTAGAACCGTATACATATTGATTGATGGTAGATATCAATTTTTAAAAAGATTCTTGTAACGATATTTTTTTGGCCTTTTTAATATTGATAGAAATAGATATATTGGTGGGAATGAAAATATTGTACTTATAACCCAATTTGTTATATGTATTATTTCATAACCGATTTAGGAAGATTAACCGTAGCACCGATTTAGGAAGATTAACCGTTGCTATGGCTAGTTCAGCAACTATGAAACTCTTTTTGCTACTAATAGATGATTCAAAAAATTTCACCACCGTGTCCCCCAATTCACGACTGGTATACACACACACACATAGAGGGACACACACACACACACACACACACATAGAGAGAAAGAGAGAGAGACAGACCTGTAAACTTCCTTTAAGATTGTCTTGGGAGATATCAATCAATGTCTAGCTTGCCTTCCTCCTGAAGATGAAGCAGAATTTCAATCAGACACTTATTACCAGGCTGATCATCATTTCCTTTTGAAGCTCGATATATTTCAATCACATCATCAAGGAAAGCATCTAATCCTTGTGAAGTGTAGTTTTTTAACCAAACCAGTTAGTGCGTCAATCCATCCAAATGATGGGAAGAAATCTTGGAAGGAAAACTCAATCAAGAGCTCCATTCCGTTTCTCGCAAACTGTCCGAATCTCTTCTTATTTTCCTCTCCTTCATACTTCTTCCCAAGAATACATCTGGATATTATACTAGTCATGGTATTAACCAACATATCTCCAAGGTTGACAGAATTAGCTCCTCCATCAAGGCTCGTGTTGTTGCGTATCTTCTCAATCATCGTCGCAACTTCTTCTTCTCTAACAAAATGGAATGATTGCACCCTTTTGATGCTCAGAAGCTCCAAAACACAAATTCTCCTCATTTGTATCCAATACTCACCGTGCGGAGCAAACCCTAGACTAGTGCATCCATACATTAATGCATCAGCTGCCCTTGTTTGGACTCTGTTTGCAAAAGCAATGTCATGAGTCTTCATGATTTCTTTTGCTATCTTTGCAGAGTTGACAACCAGAGTTGGAGCACCACCCAAGTATAGCAGTAACATAGGGCCATATTTTTCGAAGAGAGCATGGAGAGACCGGTGAGGGAGGTTCCCTAGTAAGTGAAGGTGTCCGATAATCGGTAGCCTAGGTGTTGAAGGAGGGAATTTGAATTTGCTAACACTTTTCTTGAATTTAAGCAGAAACGGGAGGAGGGAGGAGAGGAGGAGAGCGAAGACAAAGGGTTTGATTAGTGTTGTTTTGTAGAGCTCTTGCCACCATTGTTACAACAGTGGTGTTAGACCCATTATTGCACTAATGCTGCACCAAAAGTGAGATATCAAACTTGAAGTAAGCATTATCCCCAAAATGGACGATAGAGGGTGGAAACCGATTCTACGCAAGCATGGTGGCAATGGTAGAAGAAACTCAGTTTCGGACAACGAGATTCATACAATTTTTGTGGACAACCTACCAGAATCGACGGATCCAAAAGGGTTGTACAACATATTCACTAACTATGGGATTGTGAAGGATGTGTTCATCCCCAACAAAAGGAAGAAGCTGACTAGATCCAGATTTGGTTTTGTCCGATATGCTTGTCCAGTGGCAGCGGATATGGCGATCCAAAAAGCTCACGGCATCTGGTGTGATAACAGAGCTCTAAAAGTGAAAATAGCTGATTTCGGCCAAGGAAAGGTGGAGAATCAGCAAGCACTAATTACACCAGATGGCAGAAGGGGTATCGTTACAACCAGTAGGGTTCCTAGTATGGTACAAAAAGGAAAGTCTTATGCCCAAGTATTGGGTGGACAGGGGTTGATATCAAATTCAAGCATCAGCATACAAGTTAACGAGGAAGGTAATGGATGGTTGTATGAGAGTGTGATTGTCCGATTGAAACCTCAACACCTTGTGGTGGAGTTTGAAGAGGAATTGAAGAACAGAGGGCTGGGGGATGTTCAAATCAGAGTTGGGGGTGGAAGGGATATTGTTCTAACATTCCAGACAGTGGGAATCATGTCAGAGAAGCTCAAGGCACTGGAGGGGTGGATTCAGTCATGGAGTGAATCAGTCAAGGTATGGCAGAAGGGGATGGTTCTTGACCAAGAAAGATTTGTTTGGCTCACCTGCTATGGCGTACCTCTGAATCTATGGAATTGCAAAACATTTAGTAATATTGGAAGATCGTGGGGTGAAGTCATAGGCATAGATGAGGACACATCCAGAATGAGGTCTTTTCAAAGTGGGAAGGTGAGAATTGCTACCAAGTGTATGGAGTCCATAAACACAACAATCACCTTGCGCTGTAAAGGGGTTGATTACCCAGTCAAAGTCTGTGAAGACCAGGTGGTGATTTCAGAGGTGGTTTACAAACAATGCAAATGTTATAGTGTTCAGCCCCAACCAGAAAATTCAAATTCAAATAGTGTGGAACAAGAACAAGAGCAGCAGTCTGCTGTGGGGAGCAAGAAGGATGAAGATGAAGCTGATGTGGAGGGCCACGTTGGAGGCGTACTGGACAGTAGAGGGGCAGAGGTAGAAGGGGGGCCGACGGTAAAACATGATGAACATATAGCTACTAATGGGCGAAA